TTTTTTTTTTTTTTTTCCAATGAGGAGAATAATTAGAGTAGCCTGAACTGTGAAAGGAAGATCAGGAACTGTGGAAGAAAGAAGTTCTAAATCTGTAGAAACATAAAAGTAGGCTTTGATACCCTACTAGTTACTCATAATGACATTATTTTAGTTTTACTTTTTTTTTTCTTCATGAAAATCTAGTTTATATCAGTGGTTCTCCAAGGGGTAGTGCATATTTCATAGGATATAGGAAGGAGTATGAAATAGGCATCTATAATTTACAGAAAAGTCCTGGGGTGATTCTGAATCTTCTGCGCCCCCACTAGAGGACCACTGGGTGAAGTCCTGTGTGCAGCTAAAAAGCACCTGAGATAATCAATATGGAAGGCTGGCCATTACTATCACTTTGTGGATAAGCCCAAGCTTTCAAATGCCCCTTTTTAAGCTAAGCAGAGCTGAAAAGTCAGACAGAGGATAATGAAATCCCCCTGCGCTCCTTCACGACTCACACCACCGCCCTGTCTGCCCAGCGTGGGGGCAGGTCTGAGCTGTGAAGATTGACTGAGGAGGGCCAGAGGGGATCCCACCACAGACCATCTGCTGGCAAGCACACGCACGTATCTGTCTACCTGCTTCCTACTTGCACCACTGCTCCCATTTGGTTGAGGGACAATGACAGGCAGATGATTGCAGTGCTCTTTGCAGTCAAATCTGTGAGCATCACAGGAAGGAGCTCAAAGACAAGTGTTTGCCAGACACCAAAAACACTTCTTGCATCTCTGCAATCTTCTTTCACTCCCTGACATGCCTGGGACTATTATGGCTTCTGATAATGCTGACTAGTTCAATTTGGACAAAACATGAAGACCAACAACAGCATCCCTCACTGCAACTGATTCTGAGTTTCATTCCTGTAATGGCCTCTCATGCCAGATAGGCCTGCTTCTTTGATAATTACAGTTTCAACAAATCTGTTCTTCCTCCACTAAGAAAGGGAAAGTGATTTAAGCAGATGGAGCCATCTATGCAGCACGTTCACGAATGCAGTGCACAGGGCTGAAATGAGTAGTCAAATTACACACTCTGTGAGTATGAAGGTGGTCTAGTTTCTAAGATCCTTCTCAGTTAGGACTCTCCAAGCTACAGTCACATACACAGTGAGGCCTACAGTCCACAGAAGAACACGGGCAGCAGGTGAAAAGGAGTGCCCTCCCTGTTTTCCTCCACTGGCACAATCCTACACAGCCCAGAGAATCAAAAAACTTGGTATCAAGTAATGCCTCAGCATTCTTAACTTCCAAATTTCTTAAAAGTCACAAAATTATTAAACATTTATATCTAATATTAAAGATTGAAAAATAGTAAAATTACATCCATAACAAAGTTAAAACCAAAATATTTATTTTAGTTGAGCTCTAAAAGCTCTCTGTACACTGGAACAACTTCTTTCCTGCTACTTTATTAATATTATCCCCTAAAAAAACCATTGCTGTCAAGTCAATTCCAACTCATAGCAACCCTATAGGACAGAGTGGAACTGCCCCATAGTTTCCAAGAAGCACCTGGTGAATTCGAACTGCTGACCTTCTGGTTAGCAGCCATGGCTCTTAACCACTATGCCACCAGGGTTTCCTTATTAATATTACTCTCTCACATTTCCCTAAGTCAGTGATTGGAGCAGGTATTATGAAAATTTAGGCTTATGTCCATTCAAAGAAGTAGTAAACATTTGCAAGTTACACTCATCTTCCCCATTCTAGTCATTACCATGATTTAGGACATATATCAGTATGTGTCCCAGCTTGAACAGGACTCGAGAAGGAGAAGAGAAATGAGTTCCTTTGTAAAGGCACAGAATTCTATTTTAGGATTGCCTGGTAGGGGCATCCTATTCTCCCCACCTGAATATCCAGAGTCCCTTTTCAAAGAAAGCTACAGTAAAGGCACAGAATCATGGGTCTAATTAATCTATCTCTGATCTTTACAAGAGGTGAGGAAAAATCTGTGGGCCTGGGAAAAAGAGAAGAGGAATAACCAGAGTGGATGGGAAAGGGCATCCATGATATCTAGAATGTCAAGGGCTACAATGGATTGTATACAACTCTTAAAGATGGAACGTGACCTGAAACAAAACCAAAATACAACAAGACAATTAACCAAACAAAATTAAAAATACCCTCTTGAAGGATCACTGAGGCAGTACTTCTCAGCCAATATTTAAACTGACTTCCGTAACGACAATTCAGTCACCCTATCTTATTTAAATTATATTCAGGTACTTTCTTGAGCTGAACTTGGTTAAACAAAGCAAATACGGACTGACGAGTCCATGAAAAAAAGATACATCACAGCCGAGCGTACCATTCATATCCCATCAAAGGCCAAAATACCTGCATATCCTTAGAAAGTATGAACCTTGGATCAATAACATACAGACATTCTTCCTGATCTCACCTACCGTTAAATATAGAAAAGCCTTTGGTATAAAAGGCTTTGCCCAACTACCATAAACATTCTCCACATAGCAAATCTGAATCAATCACTAAAATGTTTTCAGTTCTTAATTACTAGCATAATACTTATATTCTTTTAAGTTTACTGGAATTATTATTGTAACTACTTCTAAAAATATAAACCATCCCCTATGTCACTCAACCATAAGGCATTCAAATCAACCAGAGTCCTTGGTCAAAGCTGGTTAAGAGGTAGATTAAGATGAGTTGATGGAATAATAATATTTGAAGATAAAAATATCTAAGTATATATACAAAAATGCAATTATAATAACTTACCAATCAGCCCCTTCTCGAGAGTGAAGGTTTTGTTTGTAAACATACATTCAAAAGCCACAATGTGGAAAATCTTGTTCACTGTGTTGTGAGTCCCAACTATTCGGATATACCTGGGGATAAAAAGAAAAGAAAATTTGTTGAAGAAACCGAGCTTCTATCACAACCAACACAAGGATAACAGAATAAGGTACAAACCTACAGTGTACCAGGGCACGGACTAAAGGATATTTGGAACTTGACTTCAGACCCTGTACCTGCTCCTCAGGGCTCACTCCAATGGAGCCTAGAAGAATTACAGCAAAATCAGGGAGATGTCACTTCCCAGAGAATTAAGTAGAACTTATATGTGATTTGCCTAGAAAATCAAACCAGGGTCAGCTCAATCCCTGAACGTCAGTACAATTCTATGTCCATGAGACATTTACACTGGAGAATAATAAACAACTTCTACCCTCGCCTTGTGGTTAGGAATGTGCCTGTGCATATGCGCACATACACACACAAATCAAATCTTTCCAACTCAGTCAAAGATTTCATCCACTGGAGACAAACACATGAAATCAATGTTGCTTGCTTGTTTAAAAAAAAAAAGAAGAAGAAGAAACTACTGAACAGTCACTCACAGTTTCTTTTATTTTAATATTGCTCTTAAATCCTTACGAGGAAGTTAACCCCGTATACTTACGCCAGCCCCCCACCTGACTGCTGGGAAGCCTTCTCCTAACCAGAGGAAGTGATCTGAGAAGAGGACCCAGCCTGCTCTGCAGCTTCCCTCCTGGCCTCACGATCTGGCATCTGCACACAGTGTAGAGTCTCACCGGGCCGGTCTTCAGTATCTCGGCCTTTTCACCCTCTGTATCTCCCTGGAGGCTTTACCTCTGACAAACAAGCGTTAACCTTGGAGTGATTTGCTCCTTTCACTCTCCAAAGGGACCTGACAGTTCACAGGTTAATGAACAGACAGACTCACTCTTCAGAGTGTCACACAATTCCACAGGGAATGTGCCACATACCTTCTTACTGGCATTCAGAGGGGGGAACTGGGAAAAATAACTAGATTAACCGACCACCCTCTCCCAAATAACTATGCACACTGAAGGACAGGGGCATATTAAACAAACAGATTTCAATTAGGAAATGACAGACTGGGCAAGGTTTCAGTAATATCCTTCCTCTGATGTGTAAAACAACCTTTGGCTTAGATGATGTAATTTTACTTCTGAGTTAATCGCTGTTCACTAATTCAGTAATTTCCTTACATTTCTCATCACTCCAAGTTAACCATATGATGTAAACGCTGATTTTAAAAATTCACATTAAGGAGACTTTATTTGGGGCTTTTATATCACGGGCTGTTTTTCCTCCTGTTTCTTCAAGCCCAAATCTTACGGCAATCCATGTGCACCTCATTTAGCCATCTGCTCTCTGACATGAGCTGATCACTCATCTTCATAACCAATATGAATGCTATATCCTGGACTGGCTGTTCACTGTGCTCATACCCACTGCAGGCAGATAGCACTCTTCCTGTGTGGTAAGACCTGAGCAACTGCTGAACTCACCAGGGCCCTCTGGGTAAGCAGGAGGTTGGCCCTGATCTGTTCTCTTGAGCCCTCAAGGCAGACAGAAGGTGCTGATTTTACTGGGTCTGGGTCGGGGGTTCATTTGAAGTAATTTCTTAATGGTCTGGGTAGACAGATTGTGCCATCCTTTGCTGTGGGTGGTGACAATCTCCCTGGTGCTTTCTGGAAGGGAAAGGGTGTGCTAAACCTGGCACCTTGGCCTGAATCTAATTTTGTCAATTTCCTTAAACCCACAAGAACTCAACCAGCATAGCATTTTCAACCGCACATGGCCGTGACAGCCAGAGTGCTGCTGTCTGCAACCTTGGAGGGAAGGAAGGAATGTGGCTTGGTGGAATTTGATCAGATCATTTTCCCTTCCCTAGGTCAACACTCTTCCAAAGGAGAGACAACTCTCTGACCACCGTACAGAGTACAGGCACCAAGGAGTGACTAACAGGACCTCCCCTGGTCCATGTTATTAAGGTTAATAATCCAGGCTGCCATAAGACAATGAGGTCAACTTCCCTCCCTCCCTCTCTTCACTCCTCCTTCCCTCTCT